GGGGGGGGGGGGAAGGGGACGGGAGGGCTCTGTTGTAAAAGTGCATTGTCCGATTGCACGAAGGTTCACCAATTAAGGCGTCAACAGAGTCTCATAAAAAATCGTATTCTTTTCTCATTCAAGGTGCAAAATGAAGATCCCCAACAAACACCACGTTTTATCAACAATGATCGAGTCACGCGAATCCTCAATCGAATGCTTCATATTGCTCCGATCGACGCATGCATGCATCGAGACGAATGGTCATCCCATCAACAGGCAGACACCTTCATTCCAAACACAGCACCATCACATTTCCAACAGAATTCATCACATTTCCATCACATTTCCATCGCATTTCCATCACGAATCGAATTTGATATCCAACATGAAGTCCTGTGTCCAGTTGTTTAACAACTGCTTACCAACACAAAGTTCAACGTGCCCTACGCAGTTCAACACATTATAAACAGATTACAAACTGTTTACCAACACTTTGTTCAACTGTTTGTCCTGTCACTTCATGTTCATGACATAATTCGCAAACGTTGGTTTCCTTGACTTCCAGTTGACCACGGTGCATGTGCCACGAAAAACAAATTATAAACAGTTTATTAACAGACGACAAAGGTCAAGGACCCGTGATAAACACAAAAAAAAAACAGCGACAATTTTTCTGTTGGGACCTTCCAGTCCTCACACTAGATTTCGACTTTCCATCTAATGCTCAGGTTTTTCTTTCCGTTCTTGATCGTCGGGTCCAAGTATTTCACCAGGCTTGTGGTCATTGATCCGGTATCGTCCTTAAAACCGAGGATGCGACCTCTCCCTTCTCCTTTGGTCTTTCTCCCTTTCCTCTCTCTTCTACCTTTCCTCTTCATCCTTCGTTTCGGTTGTGTTTGGATCCTATTGCGGTGATTGAGATTAGGGGACCAATGTTTGATCAGGCCGCGCTCGATCCTACGTAGATCCCCCTCACTCTCCCGTGCCGTGAGTGGTATCGCCATGTACTCCTCGGTGCCCACTTTTCGGAGCCATCTATAGAGTGGTTGGCTCTTGCTCTCCTTCCCTCTACTGCATGTCCCATGCTCTTTCCATCTACTATTAAGCTCTCTACCAGTTCGTCCAATAATATAGATCTTTCGGCATTTAGTACAGACAAGTGCATAGACGCAGCTCGTAGGATTCGCCCACTCTATTTTCTCATCTTCCCATAGTTCACGAAACTTCTCCAACCGTGGGATTTTTCCTGATGAAGTGAGGATCACGATAACGCACCTGAGTGTTGCGTCAATACTACCACAAATGTTACTATTGCTAGAGAACTGTTGTCGGTATATCACTAGCGAGTTTCAGATAGCCGAAGCCCGGTCGAGGTCGATCTGTCAGTTATCAACAAGATCCGGGTCTATTTCCGGACTACTCCTCGCTTCCGCTTCCTTATCGTTCCTGGTGCTAGTGCGAAGGATCGCCTCTTGCATCCGTCCGCCTATCAGTTCCTTGATATCTTTATCTCGTGCTACGTACTCGATTTGCTCTTCCTTACATAGGCATTGTAGTTCCGCCATGGATCTCGTCCGTAGGTAGCTTCGCATGCTCATGCAGAAGTCCACCACACTCGACTTTGATCCATTGTCCTTGATCTCCTTCCATCCTGATATAAGCATCCCGGTGTCCGCCAACAGGTTCTTCCTCGTCTGTGCTCTAGTTCGTGGTGTTCGAGGTGTCCTTGGTTCTTTGATCCGGATCCCCAGATCTGGTTGTCTTACTCGCTGCTGCTGTCGCGGACGCACGGGTGTGGACGGAGTTCCAAATCCCGGTCTCCTTCGCGGCCGTGCGGATGATGATGGTGCAAATTGGTCATCCTCTTCGAGTTCTCTCCGAGTTTGCTCCATCTCCCACTCTATCTCATGTTCCACAACTTTCTTCTTCACATGCGCACGATCCCGCTCCTCCTTCATCTTTTTGAGGTTCACTAGTTTCCTTTGAAGATCGTCTCTCTCCTTCTCTGGACTATCTTCCTTGGCCAGCTCCTTCTCGAGCTCCATAACTTCGTTCCTCAATGTTCCAACGTCCTCTTTCTGTTGGTCCTTCGTTTGCACCTTCGCGCGCACGTCCTCCATTTGTCGAATCAGCTTGTCATGCAGTGTCTTCAGCTGCGAGGTCATCGCCGCCATCAGTCGCGCATCCCGAATCTCTGCTTGTCGCTCAATCTCAGTCTTGTGTTGTCGATGCAGTTCTTCTTCTTTCCTCCTTCTCCACTCTTCTACCCTTTGTATCTCCTGTTCTCTCTGCAGATCTTCCCTTTCTTTTCCTTTCCTTGGCTATTTCTGCACATAGTTCCCTCATCCATGTGATATCGTGACATTATCGTCTACGCCTTTCTTCTGCTGCCATGTCATTCCATTATACCTATAATGGCTTCCGCTATTGTTATTATTGCTACCACTGGGCGTACCGCCAGCCCGTTGAGGGCAGTCCCTAGCAAAATGTCCATCCTTCCCCCATGTGTAGCACACCATCTCCCTCGCTTTCCAACCAGAGTCCCAGGCATACTCCCTGGAAACCACTGAAGTATCCGTAGATTAAAGCGACCACCGATCTAGGTGTCCTTCCCAGTCGGTTATCGCCACTCTCCTCTGTCTTTGGATTACAATACTCCACATGCGTGGCCACATACATGCGAAAGGAAGGAAAAGAAGAAATTGCAGCAAGAGATACACAGCATACACAGAGCAATTGCCTTCTTCTCCCTCACGAATACATGTATGGCATCTTAGTGCCAGCTTCCACCAAACAGACCAGCGGCTTCCCCCTACGCCGGGTTTCGATCGGTTGCCAACCGATCCTCATCAGCGGGGGGGCCTCGAACCTCAAACCGAAAGGCTGGCTGGATCGTCAGAGTTAGTTAAATACCAGTTAGTCTATGCCGTCACGGTTCCCCGCGGCTGGATTAGTTCCTATTTTCTTATCAATTTATTTTTCCTATATTCTAAGGCCATTTCGTTGGGCCACCGTGTTGTTCTGCTAACATCGCTCGTCTGACATCTCTCCCGTTGGCACTGGTTACTGTAGGTCTTTTGGACCATTGAATCAGTCAAGGTACACTCTTCTCGGCCCGTTTCTCCGTTCCAACCCCGGTAGGCCTAGTTTTCTGCAACTCCCTTTAATTTCTAAGTCCTGTGTTCCATTCCATCCGGTACCTGCTTTCACATGTATAGCCACCAAATCCCCGGTTAGAATCTTCATATGCAGACGGACAGCCAACATGCTATTTTCTTCCACTCCTCTCTCTCTCTCTCCTCCTCTCTGTCTCTCCTCTCCCTCCCTCTCTCTTCCCTCTCTCTCTCTCCCTCCGTCTCTCCCTCTCTTTCTCTCTCTCTGTGTATGTGTGTGCGTTGAGGACCATAGGACGGCGATTTGCTGGATAGCCCTTAATCGAATTCCAAAATTACCCAAGTGGGCTTCCTGCAGCAAAAAAATGAGCTGAGAAATGGGAGAGTCAGGGTAAGTACGGTCAAAATTATCAGACCAATCCAAGAGAGTGCAATTGCAAGTACCAATTGCACAGAAATATATTCTGCTGTATAATCCATCAGTTACCTTGAGCATAGTCCCAGTGTAGTATGGTCCCACCCCGTCGCACTGTGTGTACTACCAAGGGTTGGGACTCCAAGAGGAGAGGTAACGTCGAGGTGGAAGCGAGGACACCCCTTGGGAGGGATAGAGGAAAGCTGCCCCTTCGGTAAGGACAGAAGTGTCACAACCTTTCTCTACCAGTCTATAAGGACTATCTACCGAAGGCCAGGCTCCACTAGACCAAGTGCCATACTCGTGCTAAAACAGCACCAACCTGCCAATTATTATGACTGGCTCATGCTTTCCACACATGAATAGAGCAGCTGTGCTCCCCACCTCCCTCCGATCATCTGAGAAACAAGTGGCTGACCTTACGAAGTTTCAGCAGCACACACATCACAGTCTTTCGGCACCAATGGAAGAAAGCAGAACCCCATGTACAGTAGAGACACATATCTGACACTGAACAGGGCGAACAGCAGCCCAGGTACAGTATAGAGTCTATAGACACATTCCAAAACATATCTTATTTGAAAAGGGCAAGCAGAACCCCACGTGTAGTAGAGAGACATTCCCGCACGTCTTTTTGTTTTGTAAGAATTCTTCTCTCACATTCATTCCCGCACATCTTTTCGTTTTCTAAGAATAAATAAATAAATAAATTGTCACATGGGAGTTTGTAATGGGCAGGAAAAACAGGCAGTCTGCAACTTTGTCATGGCCTGAGTTTGAAAAGGCGGTTGTAACTCGGTCCGCCAGTGGTGTCAGGGTGGCAGTTTCGTTAGGGCTATTGTGGTTTTTCAACTTTTTGTTTTTTTGTTTTTTTCCGGCGTTTTTTTCTTCCGACTTTTTTTTTCTTTTTCCGGCAACTGTGGCCCATCACGGCCATGGCCAGCCGCGGGCGTGAGTTTGAAAAGGTTACCCCTTCTGCTGGCGTTGAGAAGTGAGTTGTGGCGAAGGGGCTACCCGGACGCCTTTTTTGATACTGCATTGGTGTCCGTCTCGAGGAAGTTTGGGGGACTATGGAAAGAATGGATCCCGTTACTTACCGGCTGGAACCGGACGACTTTTTTGATACCGCATTGGTGTCCTTCTCGAGGAAGTTTGGGGGGGTATGGAACGAATGCATCCCGTTACTTACCGGCTGGAACCGGAGGTCTGCCAAAGGCCGGGAAGGGGCCTACCCTTCGCTGTAGAAGGGGTCGGATGTTTGGCTTTTTGAGGGTTATTTTTCCTTTTTTGGTCTTTTTCTTTGGGCTGATGATTTTTGTTTCGTTTGAAGGCTCTGCAATCAGACTTGCTTTCATTCACACTTTTCATGCATGTAAACAGTAGCGCAGCAAACTGGCGACATGCGCCCACTCAAAAACTCAGAGATATGGCATTCAGATACGAGTTCACTTTCAATTGGCTATGGCGACTCAGCGCCCAAACAACTCACTGTTCACATACACCGGATCACCCTGGATATCCCACACGCGACTTTCTGAACTCACACACACACACACACACACACACACACTCGCTACACACCAACTCTAGCTATGGCGGCTATGGCCGCAACTACCCTAGCGCTATGCTACGCTCCTTCTCTCTCGCCCACTTCAGCTCCGGGCTCACTGCAGACCTCCTTGCACAAGTCGCTGTGGCAGCGCTTCCGCATGGCTCACGCAGGAATGAATGAATGGCTGGGCGCTGCCTCTTGATTTATACTTCTGAAACTCGCTGGTCTGCCCTTTTGCCATCGGCCCATGGTGCTCACAGTCCCTTGTGGTACTTGCTGAATCGGACTGGGACTGACTGGACCTTACCGCTGACTGACTGGGGACTCACTGCTAACCTACCGAGGTCATACTGCAATTGCACTGCAGTTAGTCCACCACCTGACTCACCACTTGCCCACTTGCCCACTTGCCCACTTGCAGACCTTTTAGAAGGGCTACAGCTAAGACTTCTGGAACTCGCTAAGACTTCTATTCTACAGGTCTACAGATCGAACCCCTGCCACCTACGGACCCATGACAGCCTACCAACTGTTTACGAATACACAGGTCACAGGTTCAACTCTCGAGGTCTACACAGGTACTGTACACAGGTAGGGCAAGGTCTCGGGATCGAACCCTGGGATCTGCGTCTGCTACCGCAAAGAGGTGAAAACCGTTTTACTCCCGCCGTCCTAAATTCGAGGTCCTCCGAGAATATTTCAGTCCAAGGCAGGACCTTTACCCTTCTTATCACGCTCGTAGGCTCTGACTATGTCGGGAGCTGTTTCTAGAAGTTATGTCGTAGTAAACCAGCAGTCGTCTTCTGGTTCCTGATAAGCAAACCGGACCTTATACTGTTTCTGTGGACGACCTCTACCTCCTGTCATGAACACATCTTCATCTACAATGTCGTCAATGTCATTTCTTCTGTCCATATCCGGTGGGATCATGGATCTTCTTGAAGGGAACTGTTGACTTGTGCCACACGGCAACAACTTTGAGGCATGGAATACTGGATAAGTGTGGAGGTGTACTGGAATTTCTATTGTGTATGACGGCCCATCCTCTCCGCCCTTGACTTCTAGAACCGGCCACGGTCCTCTATATGCAGGTAGTAACTTCTGCGAAATGTGCTCGTCAGGTGCAAACTCTTTAGACTTGACCCAGACTAGGTCGCCTACCTGAAATTGTGAGGAGCGACGGTGCTTATTAGCCCGTTCTATCATTCTGTGCTGGGCCTTCCTGAGGTTTTCGACAACGGTAGCTAATTCTTTCTCGTGCTGTATCGCAAACTCCCTGGTACCGGGCAGTAGCCTGTGAACCTGATCCCGGTTCAGTCCTTCAAACGGTCTGCGTGGTTGTGCAGCTCATTGGGAGTGGGACATGTGGACAGATGCACACTATTATTGTATGCGCTAGCTACCTTAGGCAACATCTCGTCCCAGTTGATCTGGTCGGGTCTAATGTACATGCGCTGAACTTGTTGTAGGATCTTATTCATTTGCTCAGTCTGACCGTTGATCTCTGGATGGCGGCCAGACGACATCAACAACTTAGATCCGTAAACTCCCATGAGTTCTTGCCAGTTCTGGCTGGTGAAGCGACTATCTGTATCGCTAACTATTGACAACGGGACTCCATTCTCACTAACCCAAAAATCAAAGAAGTTTCGTATAACTAGATCCGTATGTGCCTCTGTAGGCAAGGGAACAAAAACAACATACTTGCTAAATCGGTCAACTATGACCATCAGACCATGACTTGGATCTGGCCGTGTCTACTCTTGACATCGACATCCATAAAATCAATAGAGACTGAGTCTCCCAGCTGGTCTGGAATAGGCAAGGGTCTGAGAAGACCTAGAGGGGCGCGCGTAGTGGTCTTGTTTCGCTGGCAAACTTTGCAACTGCGAACGTACTCTATGCAGTCAGCTTTCATTCCGGGCCAGGTATATGCACGCATCAGATTGGCTAAAGTCTTCTGCCAACCGAAGTGTCCGTCTGTGTCATGGCATTCCCCTAAGATCAAACTACGGATCTCTTCACTGTTGGGAATGCACAGGCGATCTACTACATTAGTCTTCTCAAACAATAGTCCCTCAGTAGTGCGGTAGTCTGGTTCGGTCTCTGGGGCCTCCTTAACTCTCTTGAAGAGGTCACTATAGATAGGGTCCTGCGCATACGCCTGTCGGACTTTCTCTTGCAGGTCCTTTCCTATGTCCAGACAGTGCACTATGGCTCCAAAGTAGTCTGATCTTCTACTCAGAGCATCCGTAACTACATTCTACTTGCCTTTGACCGGTTTGAGCTCAAAGTCATATTGGTCTACCTTAGCGGCCCACCTAGTTAA